CTCCGTGATAGTAGAAAAGTGCAATCCCTCCAATTCTGGCGTCCATTCAAATTGCTCCCGATAGAGGTTCTGATAAAAATTCACCAGTTGGCTTCCAATTTCCTGTTGAAATAATATAAGTAACCCCGTCCACCTCCAAAACTGTGATGGAGTTGTTCCTCATATTAGAATTGGCGACCCTGTGGAAGAACTTAGTGCATTTATCCCCCTCTTTCAACCAAGTAACTCAATTAATCTCCTCCATCTACACCGACCTCTCCATCTCTTCTTTTAATACTCTATCTCTCTCCTTCTCCTCCCCAACTAACCCTTGACTCTTCTCCCACCTATCGAACTCCTCTATTTCTGACAGACACTGATTTTTACTACAGTTAACATTGCCCACAACTTCCTCATTCCATTTCTTTTAAGTCCCCTTTCAACGCCTTTAGCTTCTAATCCAATACAAAACAGGGAGAGCTACTGACTTCATAGGAAGTCCACCACATCTGTACTCACTCCCTGAAACCTTCTACTTTCAACCACATCTTCTCAAACCTGAAAGGTCTTCTTCCACCACCCCTCCTATTCTCCGATAACATAATAGGAAAATGATCCGAGTACACCCTCCCCAATCTTCTCTGAGTGGCATCTGAATATTTGGACTTTCACTCCCCACAAATCAAGAACCTACCAATACGAGACAAGACGGGTCGGTCCCGATTAGATGACCAGGTAAAATCTCCCCCAATCATGGGTAAATCCACCAACAAATTTTCCCTAATAAAATCTGAGAACTCCTCCATAGCCCTAGTTAGTCTCCCACCACTCAACCTCTCCGAAGAAAATCGAATCACATTGAAATCACCCCCAACATGTTGGGAGATTCCACCAAGCCCTCATTCCAACCAGTTCATCCCACAAGCCCACTCTACTGTCATCAAAATTAGGCCCGTAAACTCCTGTGAACATTCACCGAAATCCATCCTCACAATTTTTGAAAAAAATCGATATAGAGAACACTCCTATACCCATCTCCTTCATCTCAAGCACTCTAGTGTCCCACATCACCAACACGCCTCCTAAAACCCCTGATGATCGCAAAAATGATATCCTACATGGTTCCCCCCCCCCATAAACTACTAATCACTGCCCTCGAGATAAACTCCATCTTAGTTTCTTGTAAGCAAACAAGATTTGCCCCCATCCCCTTAGCAAATGTCGAACACCAAGCCTTTTACCAACCTCATTGAGCCCCCTTACATTCCAGCTAATGAGTTTTGGCATCATTATAGCACTCCGTAACCCCTCCCCATTGTTCATTTCTTAGACTCGCCACCCTTACAAGCATAGTTTACTGACCATTCGAACCTTTTAAGTACACGATCACCCTTTCTTCTTAATTTACTATCATGTGTACTGATGTCTTGTCCCCTATTAACCTTTAGCTCCTCGAATAATTGTAACAATCTACTTTCATACCCATCCCATGACACGCCAACCAACATACTGAATTCCTGAATTTTTTGTAGAACCCAGTTCGAAGGTGGGTGACCAACTTCTAATACATCAGCTTCTGAAGTTTTCTCACTGTAATAGCCCTCGAGATGATCAAAGGACCGTTCTTTCTCTTCCACCACTTGTATAATGTCACTGTCGCTTTCTCCTTTTTTGGCACCATCTACCCACAACACCAAAGCTTTTTCAGTCCTCATATCATTTTCTATTGTCCTCCTATTATAAATGTTCGTAATCCTTGATGTCGAATGTGTAGCATTGTTTTCTTTCACAACGTCCATTGTCATTGTCTCCAAGTTCACCATACTCAACTCTCCTTCCTTAGACAGCGGTTCCACCTCTCGTTCTACTGCAATTCCCGTGTCTACTTCATTCTGGTTGAACCCCACAAAGTCAACCCCATCATCGTTTTTATAGTACCCCACTTACATTCTCTCCCGAGACTCACAATGTTCATCTCTTCCCTGATTTTCATGTTCTGTAATTGATGGCAGTTCCTCATGAGTCAATCCCGGTACGTGTATTTCACCGGTTTGATCCTCATCCAACTCAACGCCACACTTGTGATAGCGTACCAATTTCATGGGGTCTATTTCAGGCCCGCTTCCAACTAGCCTAAGTAATTCATCCAATGCTCATTTCAACTCCTGGGCACGGGCCATTATTTCAACCTTACTCAAACAAATGTCGTGACCTTCGTTATCACCGACTTTAATTGTCCTTTCCTTTTGCTGTAGCATTCGTTGGGTGGCATGCTCCGAGGTCTGTGAGTTTGCTGTAATTTCTGCATAAGTCATTCTTTGTCTATTTCGTTCATTCACCGTTTGTCGTTTGGCCTTATCCCTAGCAACAAATGAGTCAACAATTGCTTGAAACACCTGCGAGACCGACGCCCATCCCTCTCCATTTGCACCTTCTGGTATCATGACAACTCCTTTCCAACGCCTCTCCCCATATTGTGCTATCATCAAATATCTACCTCGACGGTTCACACACCGTTGTGCCAAGAAAGCTCTTGAAGACTCATTGAATTTAAAGACACAGTCCTTCAATTCACTTCTCATCCTCAATCTGTCTACCATATTCATCATCCAAATAGCACCATACCTTCCCATAAAAATTGAATCCGATAACTTCAAACCCCATTCTGTCAACTTAACAGTGCCGAAATCGTTAATAGATACTGCGAAATCCTTCGCCTCCACTCTGAAACGATGATTGAATACCATACTACACACATCCGCCAATTTTTTTCCTCTGATTGTGTAAAAGTTGTTCATCAAACGGAGGAACGGACAAGCCGATTGATCTCGGAGCAGCAGGTTACCTCTGCATGTTTTCCGGCGGCGGCGCGTGGCCCACACGGGCCGGCAGACGCACAACCAAAGCGGCACGTGTGGGGGGCAGAACGCCAGCCGGGGTCGCCAGTCTCTGCTGAGGCCTCCGGTGAGGTGCGTTTCCTCGAAACGTGGCCGGATCTAATGAAATCTTCTGTGTGCTCCCCGAATTTTTCCACTCTCTGTCGGTCTCTACCCTTTTTGCACCAGGGCTACCGCCGGTTGCGTCGTCCCCAAACAGGCCATGGACAGCATAGGAGATCTCGGTGACGGCGCTGGAGTTTCCAACAAGGGCCGCCGCCTGTTGGAGGGGCTGGTTTGTGGCGTGAGGCCGGTTATGTGGTGCCTACTGGAGAGTTGGTCGTCGCCGGCGCCGGTAGGTATGGGTGTTGGCTGGGTTGGGTGGTGGTGTGGTGGCTAGGTTAATTTGGATTGTGGGGGGAGCTCCATCCGGTTCAGTTATGTGTCAATTCTTCGGAGAAAAAAGAGTATTCTGTATTATGCTAGTGATTTTGCTTCATGAAAGTTGGCATTAGAACCTATTTGACTCGTGTATGCTGTGTTTTGAAATGCTTGAAATTCTCTCGGCTCAATACACTTACAGTATTTTTATTCCCATTCCTGTGATTTTTATTTCCTTTACATGGAAGCAACTATATTCTTTTTTTGAGCAAATCTCAATGCCGTTTTCCTTCTAAAGGTAACGGCTTAGATTAGATGCTTCCCAATCTTACAACTTCTTTTCTGTTAGGATAACACGAACTACCTCAACACTAAAGGAGGACTAAATTTCTTCATACTCTTATCCCCAACTCTGTATAAAAGAACTTTCCATTTAAGGGGAAAAATAATCTGGCAAGGAGAAATATCTCTCTAAATATGTTAGAATGCATTTTGACAGATAGAAAGTTCTTGTCGATTTTTTTCCCTTTGAAATACCTCATTGGCTCTAGTCATCAAAATTTGATCAAACTGGTAATCGCTTTAGTTCTGAATTCTGACAATAACCAGCCTGACATATATTTTGGAATGGGAACATAACCTTCATAAAAGAATTTGATTTTTCAACATATGCCACCTTAACAATATTATTAATAACACCACCAAATATTTTTGTGAATCAACCCCCACGAAGGGGAGAGAAAGAAATGAGGATTTTTATTTTTTTTAATTCAATAACAATTATTAATTACTCTACGAGACACCACACATAGACACATACTCTCCAAAGAGATACAGGATTTTTAATTGAAAAAGTACATGGTAAAGATGGGGTACTTTGGTAAATTAACAAGATTATGGAAGAATAACTTGCAAGAAAAAAGAGCCTGAAAACTCTAACATCAACAACCTTTTGTCAGTATTAGTAGATTTATATAAAATTTCTCTAGAATATCAATAAAGATGACAATATAAAATCCCACTGTGCCTCATGTTGCATTTGGAAATAAAAATTACAATTCATTGTTCCATTTTCAGAGATTGAACCAATAATTCTGAGGATAATTCACCAAACTCAGGATTCTCTCACTTAAAATCCTTTTCCATTTTTTTTTGGCATGGGTTGGGGGAGTGTAGGAGTATAATGTCGAGTCCCACTGTGCTTCAAGCTTCTTGGAACTAAAAACCACAATAGATTGCTCCATTTTCAGATAGAAAACCAACACAATTTATAAGGACAATTAACCACACTTAAGATTTTCTCACTTGAAATCTCTATTCTTATTCTTTCTTTCTTTCATATATTCTTTCATCTTTCTTCTTAAGTGATAGGAGAATAATGTCATTATGACTAGTTGTATAATCTTGGAGAAAGAATTAAACAGCTGGATAAAGAATTAAGTTTAATGTAAAGTGGAGAAAGAATTAACATAAAATAAAACAAATCATCCACACTTTTAGTGGGCAATGAAGCAAAAAAAAAAAAAAAAAACCTATTAATGCTAAGAACTCAGCCTTTTGCTTCCTGAGCTAGACGTCATTGGCCTCTCACTTGAAATCTCATATTAAAATGAAGAATAGTGATTGCAAATGAATAAAAGACAGTCTCAATCATATTTCTTATAGTTAAAGACAAGTATGATAAGTGATATGTTCAGAAAAAGAAATGATAAGTTTAAATAATAAAGAAATCACTCCTATGTGCACCTGAAGGAAACAACAGACCTTATAATCTGCTAACAATCGAGATACAGCATGGTAAGCAGGGTCTTCTGTAGTGTCAACCATAAAAAGAAATTCCAGGGGACCACCATATAGAGATGTAATCTGCAATCAAGAACCGCAACTTGATAACCTTGTATGGGAAAGCTTAAAAAGTTGAGATCAAAATCAATAATTAATTGTGACTGCACATTACACGGGACCCATAATTAGTACCCACTTTTCTACCACCCGTTTTGTTGGACCTATCACTCTTTATCCAGAATCAGCTTTTTAGCTCTCCTAAACAAGCACCAAGTATTTCTTCTTTAACCTCAATCGTTAATCTGGTTACGAGGACAAGTAGAGTCAAGCAATCTCTAGAATAAAAGGAAGAGTACTATAAGAGTTACACTCATTTGTAAATTAGAAGAAGCACTGGTTTAAAGAGAAAATAAACATGTAATCAGTAGAATTCTACATGATTAATCATATTTAACATAAAGTGGATTAGAATTAGCTAAAAAATAGAGGACGCCATAAAATTGGCTTGTTGAGTACATTTCTACTGTTGCAGCATGATAGTGGTTCATTTAATAAGATGAATATGCATAAATTGCTAATAGAAAGTTACCTGCAAAATGAAAAACTGGAAAGATTGACCTACTATTTATATGAATACTGAAACATCTAAGAATAATTCACCTGAGTTCTCCAGTTATGCAGATTGTGTTCTCCAAATCCCTTTAAGGGCATGACAACGGTAACCCTTGGCAAATTGATCTGATTAGAATGCTCAAGGGCATTTATATCATGATATAGAAAAGCAAAGGTATTGCCATGTTTCATACTTTCCTTCATCTGTCTTATCTCTCTACGCCTGTGCAAGAAATTTTACTAAGTTACAAAATTGAGCTTCTCTGCCATTACCAAAGCATAAACTGAACCATTAGAGTAAATTCAACGATGTTAAACTCTGGATCATCAAATTATAATACCTGACATAAGCCGCTGAAGCCCATCCAAGGGCAAGAGCTAAGCAAATAAAAAATCCCTGCAACAACAAAGGTCTCAGATATACATATGAAGAAATTACTATGAGTAGAAATTAAAAAATTGAAGAATACAAGACATGCAACTCAAGAAGAATGCTACTACTAATTTTCACTCTTCTGGCAAACGAAAAAAAATGGAGAGAGTAACATATCGTGCTATATTAATTAATATTTCAAATAATGAACAAAATTTCCTCAAATCCAACACAGGTCCACATATCAAAGTCAATAGTTCTAAATGGGTAATATAAATTAGAGGAAAATCATCAATAATATTATTTATTAGAATGGCTTTTTCATATATGTAATGTGTCTATTTACATTTCTAATAATTTTACTGAACATCGGTATAGGGCCACATTATTTTCGATAAATTAATAGTAAATATCACACATTTAAATCAAATATTTGTGGAAATACAGATGAAAATATACTGCATTATTATATTGCAGTAGTACTAGTTTAATACAAAATACGCGTGGATTCTAGGACAACTTGATTTTTCCTTCAATTTTAATACAACAGTCCCTTTGTAATTCAACAATTATAGGCCAATTATTAACAGGGAAGGCTAATAATGAAACCTCGTCTTTACTCTCGACATAGTCCGTCTATTAACTTTAAAATTTCTCTTTTTCCTTTTTCTAGGAATCATTTTCTTCTACTAATCCTTCTTTTGGATGCTTTAAGAAATTATGTTTTCTTTAATCTTTTTTTTTTTTGTTTTGCTTTTTTCCCTGAAAAGAAGCACGACTGAATCTTATAAAAAGAACATTGGATTTCAGCTTATATCAATATTAACATGGTTTTTTGTTTATGGACATAGGATTATCAAATGGACTATTTTTTGTGAAACTGAGAGTTATGTTGTTATCTTTCTCAAATAATCCTTTGGCTATTCTTTAGCATCAGATCTTAAATTTAAGTATAAAATAGGACTCAAGTACATTCTTTATTTTCCACCATTTAAACTTGTCATGGGTAACAAAGAAAATTTAGTACTCATTTTATCCTTCCTCTTTATCTTAGTTCAGCCTATTCTAGCTAAGATTTGTAATAACAAAGTGATTCTACAGAATGCACAGGGGTCGCAATACAAAAAGATATAGAACCAACATCGTAAGTGCATGAGATTCAAATTAACAACGTAGTCACTACACATTAACCAACAAAGTAACAGTCAAGGAAAACTCTAATTTCCAGCATTTAACCATATCTATCCCATTTTGATGCATGGATAAGCAATCCTTGAGAACCTCAAAAGAGCTTGTAAAAAATCCTCCATCTATCTTTGTCCATACGTAAGTACTTAGACTCTCATACACTTCCTCGTGAACTCCTAGTGATTTTATTGGCTTATTGGTGCTTCTTACATTGCTTGCTTTTTCAAATTACAGCAAGATTTCACTCGTACAATTATTTATTCATCGAGAAAATACCATGTGGAACGGGTTAAATATAGATATGATTCTATATTTGACATTTATTATAAATCCTGGAACAATACTTTTCTCTTTTGCAATCACTGAATCAGGAAGCCAGATCGTAGCTCAGGGTTTGCATACTTTACTTGAATTAAATCTTTTAGACATCAGAAAAAATAAAAAATAAAAAAAAATAAAAACATCCTTAAAACTAATGCAGCAAAGTTCTAAATATAAAAAAAATAAATAAATAAATAAATAAAAATAAAACCTAGTCAATGTAAAAGAAAACTCCATTCTGCCAAAGCCTCCCTATTTTCAATCCAAAATTTGATCATACAAGTTCTTATTAGCCGTTTACCTACTAAAATTCAATATACATGAGTTCATGTAGCAGAACTCCTGCAGTCCAATCCAACTGCCACTCTAAATCAAAAATCTTTAACCTGAAATTCAAATCATACAGGAACTAGGAGAAAAATGGATTTAAATTCAAACTTATATTGGACAAAAAGTCAAATTGCACAGTTTGCACTTAATTTGAACTCTCAAAAACATTTAAAGCAAAAAAATAAAATAAAAATCACATTCTACCCGTTTATCTACTAAAATTCAGCCACATTCTTATGAGCCGTTTATCTACTAAAATTCAATATACATGAGTTCATGTGTCAGAACTTCTGCAGTCCAATCCAACTGCCACTCTAAATCAAAAATCTTTAATCTGAAATTCAAATCATTCAGGAACATTCAAACTTATATTGGACAAAAAGTCAAATTGCACAGTTTGCACTTAATTTGAACTCTCAAAAACATTTAAAGCAAAAAAATAAAATAAATATCACATTCTACCCGTTTATCTACTATAAATTCAATATACATGAGTCCATGTGTCAGAATTCCTGCAGTCCAATCCAACTGCCACTCTAAATCAAAAAATCTTAAACCTGAAATTCAAATCATACAGGAACTTGGAGAAAAATGAAATTAAATTCGAATTTATATTGGGGGAAAAGACAAATTGCAAAATCTGCACTTAATTTGAACTCTCAAAAACATTTAAAGCAATAAAATAAAATAAAATAGAAAAAAAAAATTGCAGTCACATTCTATCTAACGCACAAAAACATTCAAAAAGTAAAATTCTTCTAACTCAATACTAAATTAATAAATCTCAGATCCAAATCCTACTAAAAGCAAAGTTGTGCCTTTTTCGCTCCGTCAGAAAGCAAAAGGACCCTTCTCAACAGTAGAAAAACATAAACATAAATTTCAAAAAAGAAAAAAGCTCTCTCTTTTTCAAGAGAGAATCCGAAATGAACCATACCTGGATCTGAATAAAAATCGCGAGGGGGCTACAACAAGCTCTGCTAGCCACCAACAAAAACGCGTCGAATGAATCAAAAGGCAACATTTTTTCTACAATGCCTGCACCTATATCTTATTCTTCCTCAAAATGACTAATGAATACAATGTCCCTAGGGCAAAAACAATGCTGCAAAAATTCCAAACCAGTAATACACACAAAGATAAGATTATCTTTCTCTCTACTTTTCAGATCACCATTGATGGACTACTGGAAGATAGAGAGAGAAAAAGAGGGGGGGATTGCGAGAGACCGCGTAATTTTATATTTCGAACTGTGGTGATTTTTAGAGAGAGAAAGTGCGTACTCTTCTGTTAATTTTGCTTTTTGTTTTAAATTGTTCTGGCAGGGAGAAGAGGGAGAGACCGTTAAATCAATAATATTAGACTTGGGCCCACGTGTGAGGTGGCACGTGTGGAATGGTGGGGTTGATCACTTTACGAGGAAGATGTTGATTGGTGATTCGTATTTTTTTATTAATTATAATTTAAATTTATAATTAATGTGATTAAATAGTTTAGTTATAACATCAAGCACCGTTTGATTCTCATTTTTTGCTCATAAAAATAAAAAATATGACTGTTATCCATCATATTTAACTTTTCATCTTTTGTATGAGTCTCATAACGACTATATTTTTCATTCTCATTCTTAGAAAATAAAACGGGGGCCCAATAAAATTAGTCATTGCTAACTGGCTAATTGTTTGACAACAGCTCTTTAACTATTAGGGGGAAAAAAAAAATTAATGACAAGCACTAAGCATTTCAACCTTGAGACAAGAAACAAACATACATAACATGCATTGAAGATGAATAGATACTTGAATAATTATTTTCTTTATTACCTTAAAGCTTGATCTCCATATGACCGCCCCTAGCTGTCAACATATTCGGCTCCTCTATTGTTCGTGTGTATTGTACTTGCATGCATGAACACTACGTTAAATTGTAAAAAGTTGTAGCTCCAACAATACAACTATTATGTGTACTTCAACTTTCAAGTCAAACGAATAAAAATATGTGATTGTAGGGACACAATGGAAAGGAAAATAGGGTGATGGGTTGTATATTACTATTTTTTTTTTTTTTTAAATTACCTTTGAATATCACTATATGTGAGCATTTATAGCCAATGGAGATGGGTTGAGGCCTATTGAATTTTTAACACACAACCTCATTCCAACTGTTCACTGGTAAAATTTAATCGTGTCAATTCAATCATAAGCGTGTTCTCCCATAGCCTGAACATAGGCCGAAAGACTATTTATCTGACACGACATCATAGCTTGTGGAGTTGTTGCATTAATCACTCAGTAAATTGTACTTTGTACAACATGGTCAAGGTAAGGTTTGCAGCAAATGTCATCGACTTGGATATGTACCACAGTGAGAGGTACTGCATTGTCTTGAACAACAATAATGCTCCAAGCGAGGTGTCTAAAGGTATGACGAAACTGTCTTGATAATAACATTCTAGACGAGGTGCCTAAAGACATGAATTGAGAAAGGCACGTGGAATAGGTGATGTACAGTGGAATATTGATTTTTATGTGATTTTTTCGTCTAATTGACAATCTCATGACTTGTCTTGTAGGAATGAGTCATAACATTAACATTTGATAAGATTTTTTTGACATGATATCAAAGTAGACGATTATGTTCACACATTACACGGGAGTACATGTTTTGCAGGAAAAAAAATATAGATAATTGCCAAGCATCCATTTAGCTTAAAATTGGGTTTCTTATGGTATTAAAGGTGTAAATTTAGACCAAAGTATTCCAGTTTGGACTTTGGACAATCAAAATGTGGATAAGTTCGTCTGGAGAGACAGCTTATCTAATAGATTCACTTTAACGTCTCATTAGCAACGAAATTAATTTGACATGGTATGAAAAATCCAATGTAGAAGAAATCAAGGGCTAGCCCACATGAAGAGCAAAATCTTACCAAGTTAGTGACCTACGATCAAGTCTAATTTGGAGAGAATTTATATATAATACAAAATGAATCCAATGTAAAATGGGGGACGACTTGAGTTGGCCAAATGTAAAATGCTTTCTATGTTAGAAAGTAAATCTTTGAAATTGCCCTGTAAATGACTTTTATATTCAAAATTTTTGAATCATATTTGAATGTATTTGCCATTGGCCATTGACAATTAAGAACACATATATTAATTAAGAACGCATATATCAATGTCTCGATCAATTTCAAAATATTGTATGGAACTGGTATTTGTAAAGTTAGTCCATGTACGATAAGTTTAAAAGTTTGCTGGCAAGTAAATAATATTTTTTTTTAAAATAATTTTTATTGATCGAAATTAAAAATAATTAAGCAATTTATTTTGTCAATGTAATGAGAGTAAAATGAAAATAAATTTTTACTTATAAATTATCTAAAGTTTACAAAACATGCTGGAAATTAGCTGTCGACCAAATGATTAATTGGCAAATCTTATGAAGGCATTAGTCACCACTCACCGTGTCACACACGGTCTGGTGGGCTTGCTAATCATGTGCCCTATGCAAGTTAGCACGTGATTGGATTCATAGTTTAGAAGGGAGCATCATGCTACATGATAGAATCAATGACAAATTTTGACTACACTTGACAGTTTTTGTGGGAAAAAATTTAATCATAGGCTGCCACATTAATCTATTTTTTTTCTTGTTTGTTCAACATTATTCTTCTTTTTAGCTCAAACAAAAACAATTTCCTTTTTCATTAAAAATAATAATATTTTTTTCTTCCCTTTGAAATCAAGTGATTAAAGAGAAATATACGGATGGTAACGAAACAGATCGAGATCAGGGCAACCTCCCTTGTCTGGTCTGATAATTTCCTGCCCCTTTATCCATTTAAAACGTGACGGGACCCTCACTATGTTAAGTACCCATTTTAAATTTTTGAGTTTTTTTTTATAATTCATTTTATTACCCCATTCATTAAAGTTAGACAATAGTATATTTATTAAAAAATTTAATTAATTAATTTATTTTTAAAATTTAAATTATTCAAATATATTTGGTATGCTAAGGCTTTTATTATTTGTCATATTCTTTAGATAATCTTAATTATCATCTTCTATTAAAACTAATGAAATTTCGCGAAATTTTCCATTTAAATTATTAAATTCTTAATAATAATAATAATAATAAACGGGATGAAGTGGGCCCTTCTTACCCTGTAGCAGCCTCGGGACGAAGTTCCATTCCTCGCCACCAACTCGAATACCCGATTAAGTGGGTAACCCCGTCCCGTATAGGTCTAGACCTCACGGGTATCAGGTTTAACGGATTTTTTGACCATCCCTAAATATTTTGATATTAAGACAATGTGAAACTTTGAAAAAATCAAATTATAAAAACTTGAGCAAATTTATTTATTGTCGTATTCATAAATATGCAATAAATGAATATATTTTATTAACTTCATCATAAAACTCACCAATAAACACAAACACAAAAAGCCGTTCAAGCATTTTTATTTTATTTTTCGCTTCTAAATAAAATTTAATTCTCGCAAGAATAATTATTGAGATGCAATTAATTTGCGTCAACAGACAAAAAATGAAAATAGTTATATTTTAGTAAAATAGGGAAGAATTCAAGAACCTAGTATAAAAGAGAGAAATATGCATTGGAATACATTTAATAATAATTCCAAATAAATCATAAGACTAATAGGGATGACAACGGGACGAGTTTGATACCCGTTCAAGTGGAGGCGAGACGAGGCGTTTGCTCCGTTTACGTAACTATTTTAATTAATTTTATTGTCTCCATTCATTAAAGTGAAACAATAATATAATTATTAAAATTTTTAAAAATTAAATTATCTGAATATATTTGGTAAATGAAGATCTTTATTGTTTATCATATTCCTTAATCTTAGTTGCTATCTTTTATTAGAATTCGTGAAATTTCGTAATCTTAAAAAATATTAATAATAATAAACGGGGCGGATATAGTGCCCCTGTTATTCGTACCCACCTCGAATCGCCCACGAATATTAAGTATGACGGTTTTTTTTGCCATTCCTAAACACAAACATGGAAAACTAAAACATAATATATTTACTTAATAGTGGAATTTCGTGCACAAATAAGAAACCTATGAAAGTCTATCTAACATAAAAGTAACTACTTTCCATTACAATCTCCCTGTTTTAATTAGAATGAGGAAATTACAAAATCTCAGACATTTCAAGATCACAATGCAAAAATAAGATGTACAAATTTTTCATTCACAATTCAAGTATTGATTCAACAATTAATATTAATAATATCAATATAAAATATATCAATCCTATCTCATCTCAATCCAATTACAAACCTTAAAATTCAAATTCATCCCTCCATTTCTCCCTTCTCACTCTCCCAACTTAGCCCACTCCTCACATGGCGCCGCCCACTCCACTGTCATTGCTGTCGCGTTCAAGAGGATTTCTATAATTTGATATTCCAATTTGTGAAGAAGAGGATAAAGAACATAGGGGAGAAGAACCTAAACCATTAATACTTCACTCTTGGAGATCCTTGCCTACAGTCGGAGACCACCACCACAGCGCGACGATGAGAGGAGGATTTCTGTAATTTGATTCGCTAAATTACTCATCTGGATTTGTGAGAAGAGAATTTCTGTAATTCGATTTGCTGAATTAGTCAACTGGATTTGCCAAATTTCTGTAATATTTTCTTTTCAACAGTAAACACCATGCACCGGTGATGGTACTTGTGTGGTCAATGGTGATGGCATTTGTGTAGTGGGGGTTTTGTGGTGGTAGATATGGTGGTGGATCTAGCAGTTGGGCGGGTTTTATTGTATTAGGCAATATTTTGGTGGTGTTGGGGGTTTTAGGTGCTTTTGTGCAAGTAGAGGTATTGGCAACGATGGTGGATCTGGCGACCGTTTTGTTGGAAGTGCAGGTAGAGGTGTTGATAGTGGTGGTGACAAATGGCGATGGAAATAGTCATGGCGGTGGTGGTCGCAATTGGTGGGAGTGTTGGTGGCAGTGGTGCCCAACAATCGTTGAGTTGTTGTTGATGACAGTGATAGTGGTTGTTGCGATAGCAATGACAATGACAGGTGGGGTGTCTGTGACCAACAATTATGTGTCTGTGACCAACAACTAGGCGTCTGTAACCAACTATTTGGCTTATTTGTAGGGGTGTAAGCGGTCCGATTTTACCGATTTTTGACAGATTTTCAAACCAAATCGTTTAAAACGGTTTGAAAAAAACTCAAACTTAAACCAAATCATTTTGAACGGTTTGAAAAAAAACTCAAACCTAAACCTAACGGTTTAGTCTGGTTTAAAACCGCCGGTTTCACTATTTATTTTTTTCGTCTACTTTTATGTCATTAATTCATTGAATTCAATATATATTTATATTGTACTAGTAATAAATCTAAAACAAACAAGCTCCTATTTGAACCAAATTTTTGGAACAAAAAAATGAAAATTTAGACCGTTATCCCACAAGTCTAGCTGCCTTTATTAACTTGCTATTTCATGTGTGAGACCCAACCTCCTCTCCAATAGTCAATTTTCTCATTATGATGATATGGAAAATATGGCTCAAACATGAGCTAAATATATCTACTATAAATTTAAATACCAACTAAATCAAAGTGAAATCACAATAAATTAAAACATAGTTTTTTTTTTCATTTGTGTTCACCTTTTTTAGGCTAATGAGATACAATAACGTTACAATACAAGTCTACTAAACTAAATATAAGGCTCAAAAAATATAATGATGTCTAACAAGACCTCGTGATCATCATATCCGAAAAAGAATACTGATTAAATAAAGAGAATAATCAACCACAATAATAAAGCAATTGTTTATAATATCTAAACATAACAATTACACAAGTTTACGTTTTTATGATGTTACAAAATGCATTTAATTTCAAATTCTTACCTTAGTTTACTCCAAAAAAAATATTGATCTAAAACTTTATTTGTAGCAAATATTATCACCAAAAGTCTAGGATCTCTTTATCTCCAATTTGGTCTAATGGACTTCAATTTAACTTTGAAGATGCGTGAAAAATCTGAAAAAGAAGTGTGTGGTGCCAATGACTTAAAATCGTGTTGAATGTCAATTGGAGTTCATCTAAATTTTGAAGAGAAAAAAATGTTTTGATAGATTATGTCAATCTTAAAATTATTAGATATATATTAGGATTATTGGATGATAATAATAATAATATATCTGTGTTAGAAAGTTAGAAATTGACAAAAATATCTATAAATGACAAAATTATTGAATTTTACATATTTGGATGAATTTTCAGAAAAATTCATTTTTTCATTTTTATATATTTTTTCGCCGATCCGATTTGATTTTAAACCGCAATTAAAAATTTTCAAACCTAAATCAAACTATTTTGACCGGTTTGATTTAGATCAAAACCATTTCGTTGACCGGGTCCACGTGGCACCAAACCGACGGTTTCTAAAATGCGGTTTCGATTTGCTTACAGCCGTACTTATTTGTGACTAAATAATAAATGTCTATGATTAAAAAATAATTTTTGACCAATAAACTGTGACTTATGTGACTCATAAATAAAATGTAACTTGTAATTTAAATGATTTATGACCTTGAAATAATATATGACTTACAAAATTTTTAATTTGTGACCACGAAATAATTTGTAACTAATTAATTTGATGATATGTGACCAGTAAATAAATCTGTGACCCATAATTATGAACTTGCAACTATTAATCATGTAACTGTAAATACATACCTGATTTTTGAATTTTCAAATTATTTACTTTATTTTTGAATTTTCAAACTATTTACCTAATTTTTAAATTGGGATAAATATAATACCTGAAATTTGATTTTTTCCCTATTAGAATTCTGAGTTGTAAACAGCAATAAATACCACAAACTTAAGACAACAAGAAGGTATAGCAACTACTTAGGTTGGGCTTGAGCCCCCCTTTTTCTGAAATAGGTTTTGTAACATTGATTTGTCGAAGAATGTGTAATTAAAAAGCAAGTAAAAATTTAAAGTTTACGTGTAAAATCATTTTATTGAAAAAATGTATAATTAAAAAGAAGTTTGAAAGAAAATGAATTTATAATGAAGGTCAAGTCAGGGCATAGTGCCATAGAGTACTTTTCTCTAGAAAAACCCTCGAAATTTGGTATGCTATACAAGACGATAAACAAGATTTCAATTCAACGTTCCAAACATACCAGTATAATACTAATAATCCCAAGTGAAGTTAGTGATTGTATCAAGAGGACCACAAGACAATTCCCAATACAAAGTGCCAGCAAATTCAATAGCCTCTAAATAGATAAGGTACAATGCTCAGTTAGCAATAGAGAGTGAGTATAAAACTTCACTTCCTAAAGGAAAAAAAAAAGTGAATACTTCATATCAAGTCCGAGAAGTCGGGAGGACACAGAATAAACTCTTTTCAAGAATTTCATGCAAATTCGATCCAGCAGAGATTTTAGAATGAAAAGGATTCTAGAAGCGCCGTTGTCAAGTGGGAAATGTAAGTAAAATAAGTCCCTATCATCCACAAAGGGGCTTCAACAAGATCAGTGAACAAACATATGCCACCATCACTTTTATTAAAAAAAATATATATATTGAACTCCATACCATGTGGAAAAGTATGTGACACAAAAACCCCTTGCATTTTCCATTTTCAGTAAAAAATTGCCAAGAGGAACCATAGCATAAGCATACCTAAGTGCAAAAATTGAAGTTTTCATTACCACAAAAACAAGAGAAATCGAAGAAAATTATGGTGGAAAACTGGAGACACTATCAATCAGTATTTACTTGGTCTGGAATGATATAACAACTGTAACTCACATAACTGGCAGTGTTCTAAGAAACAATGAAAAAAAAAATAAGGAGCACTGCTTTTAGAGACTTCTAGCAAGCATATATTCTTTCAACGTCCAAAGCACAACAGAAAATACAGATACGCCTGCTAATACTGGAAAAAAAATTATCAGATTGAAGTTTTCAAATCAAGCCATTACTTACCAGTCACCTCAAAATGTTTGCAAAAAGCAAAAAAGATCCCCAGATAGTTTAGAATATTAAAAGGAGCCGGCAGGAAATATGGTGTGACAAAATCAAAGTATCTGTGTTTTCTCCACTCAAAATTGAAATAATATCATCATTTCAATTCAAAACCACATGTATGAACCGAGATGTTTCTAGATGACTGCATTACAAGTATCACCTGTTCTTTGCTTGTTTGGACAACACTGAGAAAGAGTCATTATCCAATAAGTAAAGAGCGATGACAAATATCATCTAAAAGTAAATCACATAGAAATTAAGGGTAAAATGGTTCCGAAAAGATATGGTGTAAAATAGTGGGATAAACATAAAAATAGCAAAGAAAGAGACAATACTTGCTCTTGCAATGCTATAAAGAGGTATTTTGGCAAGGGGAGAAAGTCAAATACATACATCACAAAAACAAGATTATAATATTTGCAAGTATTCACCTGAAACCAACTCCTGTTGTTCTAAAACATTGTGAATGCTGATGCAAACATGTGATTAACTGATTATAATGTTAACTAACTATTTTTCCCAATTAAGCACTTGTTTGATAAAACTTTTGCTAAAATTATTATCAAATTTTCAACCAGTCAAACTCAATTCTAACCACACAATTCATAGGACCCACAAGTTAAATCAACATTTCAACCACACATTTCATCAACTTTTATCAAAATCTACTAAAAGCTTTTAGCAAAAGCTTTGTCAAACAGCAACTAAGTTCAAAAAAATACTATTTTCAACTTGGCAATGTAAAATTCTTGAAACACATATCGAAAGGAGAACCGTATTTGCATCATTGGGAGATAGCGGGAGAAAACCGCAAGGCATGGAACAATTTAATTAAGCAGGAAACTGGTTGAGTTGATAATGAGAATAATTCATCTTTTGCCAGTTTGTCTTTACGGTAAATGACCAACTGTATCACTCCCAATCAAGTGATGAAGCAGCACACCTGCTGCAACACTTACATTCAAACTCTCCACTGCCAAAAAGGACCTGAATTCTTGATCTGGATTTTGAACACTAACCACCTCTTCATCTTCCCCTGCAATCACATCAACAGGAAGGTTTCCTGGAATTCTAATCAATTGAGTGCAAGATCTCTCCACGAGTGGCCTCAAACCAGTGCCCTCACTGCCTAGAACAAGGATTGTTGGAGCACCAGGCAAAACTTCATTCAAAGGAACAGCTCTTGAAGACACTGATCCACCTAGAACCCTCCAACCATTTTCAGCTGAAGATGTCAAGAATTGCATCATATTTTTGCAGGATCTGAGCTCCATTAACTCAAGTGAACCTGCACTTGCTTTGCTCACAACCCCACTTAAGGGGGCAGAGTTCTTTGCACACAATACCACACCAGAAGCTCCAAAGAAGTAAGCAGACCGAATAATTGCCCCCAAATTCTGAGGATCAGTAACCTCGTCTAAAGCCAACCAAAGAGGACCCTTATCTCCCTCAATGGAAACTGGCTCCAACTCCTTCATATTTACCATTTCCAGCGGTGAAGCATCCAGGACCAAGCCCTGATGAGGCCTATTATCAACAACCATGTTCAGATCATGCTTCGACACCTCTTTTATGCTCAAACCAATCTTTTCCACCATCTTCATAGCTTTCTCGAAACCCTTCTTGTCCTTCTTCTTTCTATTATTCACGCTCAAATCTAACCCTTCCTGAACATATAGGGCGTAGAATTCTCTTCGCCCAGCTGATAATGCAGCTAAAACGGGTCCAACACCATAAATCCCTTCTCCAACCATTTTTGGCAAAGTAGATTCGGTAGCCTCTTTCCATGTCTTCCTACCCCAATTTTCCTGTTTATTCCATCTCCGAACCTCTGGTCTGTCAGACCCATGTTTTTTCTCGACAATCTTGTTAAGCTTATTTTTAATGTTATGCCACCTAGGTTCATTAACATCATCAACCTCTCCCAGTTCTTCAGTCTCTTCCACTTCTTCAACGCATCTATCTATATTATTATAGTCACTTCGATGACCTTCAAATTTTCTATTTTCTCTAAATTCCACAGTAGATGCACTACCTTTTAAAAACTTATCTGCTGATTCCTCCCACGAGGACCGACTAGTTTTCATTGCCACATTTTTCTCCATTTTTTTCTCTTCTCCAGCTTTAGATTTGGCTAACCAAGGAAGGGTCTTTCCACTTCCTTCTACAACCTTTCCTGAATATGAACTAGAAAAACTTCTGTTTCTAAATAGTGAATAAACCCGCAAAGCATTTCTTACACAATACCCCACCTCACGTGAAGTTTCAAATCGATACTCGACTGAACTATTCTTGGGTCTTAACGAATGGAACTGTTTGTGGGTTTTGAGACTAGACTCAAGAGCTGGACGATATCCAGCTATCAAAGATAGGGGCATTAGGGTGTGAAATTTCCTTTGCATTTTTGGGGGCTGTGAGGAAATCCTAAAAGCTAAAGGAAATGCTTGGGCTTTTGCCATATTACAGCAACAGTAGGTGAGAAATTTCAAAGAAATTTACAATTATGAAGCAATCAAGATTTATGAAAACATATACTGATAGTTCAATAAAGAAGAACAACGGCTAACAAATACCTACCCTCTTATTTTCCGGCCATTATTTGGCTCCTTTTGCCCCGGAGAGTTTAGAAGGGTTTATCTGCGTTTCGGAAGGAACGTGGCAGGCAAGAAGCACAAGGGCACATTTTATCAGGAGCTAGAACGACGTCGTATTATTATTGTTCTCTCTTTGTGCTAATTTATATTACCAATCATGTTACGTTTTACATATATATCACCTTTTTTTTACATCATGTCGTCTCGTGGTAACATATTATTGGACAATTTTAAAGATAATCAAAATTTTCAACAATCAAATCAGACCAACTTGAATGTTATCAAAAGTGAAGTGCACCACTCTTGAGGTGTCCAAGTAGATGGAGTAGGTAAGCGTGGAGACCTTTAGTTATAAGTTCGATCCCCAATCAACATTTTCTCGGTCAAGCTTGTAATACTGGGATTGTCTAGTTCGATTTACCTAATTGATGTGATTTGCAAGTTATTACATCATTTCGAGAGTTTACCCAATTCACACTCGAAAAATAGCAGCTGCAGGTTCCTCGTCGTATTAAAAAATAAAATAGTGAAGTGCACTTTTTGTGTGGAAATGACTTAACTCCTCTATTATATGTTAATTTCACTAATGACCATTGTATTTTATACTTAGTGTTACTTTGGTCACTAAATTTTAATCTCATCATCGAAGTTTATAAAAAATGTTAACCGAGCCAATGGGTCAATCAACCGATCATTGTTTAACCCCCCAAAAAAAAAAAAAAAATTCCCAATGGAGAAAAATGATTTGACAAAATCATATCCAATTAGTACCTTCAAATGTAAATATCATGTTCATGTGTGAAATTGCTCTACAATATATTATAGATATGGTTATGATCTTCAAATATAAAATGAAACCAACAATGATCTCAATTTTAGAAACCATCTTCAAACAATTGTTTTAGGTTCTCAATCGGTTGTTCAATCTAAATTTTATAAAGTTTACATCATCAAATCGTTTGTCTATATTAGATATTTTGTTAAATAATGAATGAATTATTAATTGAGTCGACTCATTAACACATTTTATAAAATTTGATGATTGATTTGAAACAAATTAAAATTCAATCGTCAAAGTGACATTAAAGGCGACGTACAATGGCCCTAGGTGAAATTAAGGATAAATTACACCAAAAGGTTACAAATCTTATTAAAAGTTCCTCAAAGTTGTAAACTTTTCATTTTTGCGCTTGGAATTCCAAAACCTTTAAATTAATATGTATTCAAAAAATCGTTAGCTGACTTATTAACCAAAATTTAACCAATTTAGCATCTGTTTGACAATATAATTTGGGAAAAATAGAGTTTTGAATAGTGAGTTTTAGGAGAATATGTGATTAAAAAGGACAAAGTTTTGGATTTACATGCAAAATATTTTATTATGTGAATGTGTGATTAAAAATGAATATGTAGAAAAAATAGTCTGAAAATAATGATTGTGAAAAGGGGGCTTAAAAAGACGGGTAAAATGCCAAAAAAACGACAAAATTAAGGTAAGAATGAAACAATGAGGTAAAAAATATAGAACAAAAACACATCACCTTCTTCACTTACCTACCCCACCCTCTCCTAATATGCGATCGTTGCCATCAACTACTATATCGCAAGAAAAATTTTCGAAACCCGCCTCCCAACACCGCTCTCATTTGCACCCTAACAACTTTATCAAAATCAATTTGTTTTTGGAGGCAAAGGGTTGCAAGAAGGCTAAGGACAACGAGATGATGAAGGCATTAATGAAGAATTGGACAATTGTGGAACAAAGAAATACAATCTACGAATGTTGCTCTCTACGTGCGATGTATAAATAATGCAAAGGAGGAACCAAGTGTAAATAAACTCTCACAAAGTAAGCAAGCGACTCCTCCATCTAGAGCGGCCAAAGGTCACTATGAAGATGCATAAGCCAATTAGTAAAATGTGATACTCTAGTACAATCAATTACAAGCTAGCTAATAAAGAACTGTCATCTGTCATTTACTCAAAATGATTGAATTACCCCCCAAAACTAGTGAGTTTAGGAAGTGAAAATTCTAGCTAAGTGAGAGCGATCTGTTGATTCAATTTTTATTGTCAAAAAGTTGGTGTCGTTTGTGGGAAGCTAAAGCAAAGCAAACTACAAGATTCTCTATTATATCTGAGAAGTTCTTAAGACCGAGAAAATGAACCAAGCAAAGGAAAATCAAGTATTAGCTAGAGCATAGGAGGATAAGCATCGAAAAATTAGCATATATCCAACCAATGCAGAGGTAAGATCATTGAGATGAGAGGATACAACAAAGAACTACGAGAAAATCAGTCCCTCACTCAGACCTGTCGCTTACGGAAGAAAAAGTTAACAGGGAAGACCATCCAGAAGATGGCTGAGAATCTGAAAGGATTGACGGTGGAATGCACTGTTATGTGCGCAAAGATACAAAGCCTAATAGGTAAAGGTACTGAAAAAGGTACAACCTTGGGAGTCGTCAAAGAACAATTAATCTGCAGTCCCTAACCTCTTCAGTCTCCTATATAAAGCCTAAAATTGAAATTTTAGGAACTGAAGATAATGTAATCGTCATCCAGTGGGAAATAGCAGGAACACATTTTCACCCCATGCTCTTGGACAATGAAAGCACAGACAACATGTTATATGATAAAGCATTTGACCAAATGTAAAAATATAACCCTTGGATCCCTATGACAGAGCCTCATTGTCTCACCAGAGGATGTTTGATATTTTGCAGACATGCCACTCTGTCTAAGAATAGGAGAGAATCTCAAACATATCAAGGTTTATAAATTTTAATAACGTCAAGGATAAATTCGTATACGATGAAATCCTTGGACGACCTGCCAAACATAATCATTTTCCTCTTTAAAAAAAAAAGTTAAACTCTAACCTTAAGGGTCCCCCACCACCCCTGCCATGGAGTATCGTGAGGGAGGTAAATCGCAAGTTATGCCTATAAGGGTACAGGGTGGAAGGCTGCTTGTAGACTTGCACTTACCCAAGAGCCAAATCCATATTTCAAGATTCAAACATTTGACGCAGCAGCCTCAAGCAACGTTGAATTTCTTCACCCTCCCCTTTTACCACTTGGAGATGTGCCCTGGGGACGATCATTTTCCTCTTTCAATCGTATGTGTGGTACTCCATGAATAAATGTGAAATGTCTATAAAGTACAATAAAAAACCTACACAAAAATCATGAAGTAACATAAAAGGAGACAGGAGGGCTTTGACTTGCACTTACCCAAGAGCCAAATCCATATTTCAAGATTCAAACATTTGACGCAGCAGCCTCAAGCAACGTTGAATTTCTTCACCCTCCCCTTTTACCACTTGGAGATGTGCCCTGGGGACGATCATTTTCCTCTTTCAATCGTATGTGTGGTACTCCATGAATAAATGTGAAATGTCTATAAAGTACAATAAAAAACCTACACAAAAATCATGAAGTAACATAAAAGGAGACAGGAGGGCTTTCAAAAATATCGTTGCCATAGTTGAAACAAATAACCCCCAACAATAAAGTGGAAATTGATTACTCAATCAGCTCCCACATAATTGATTGCATGTCAGAGGCGATTGTGGTCGAAGAGCTAGAAAGCTTTCCTATTAGCTCAAAAGATGCAAGCAAAGTTTTAAAAATTGAAAAAGAGTTAAGCAAACCGATGAAAGGCTTTTTGAAAACTACTTATCTGCCAACCGAGATGCTTTTTCTTGGAACCACGCTGACATAAAGGGAATAGATCCCAAATACGCTTATCTTGCTCTAAGAGTTAATCCCAAGATCATGCCTAAAGTGCAACTTTGTCGACCAATGAGTGCGAAAAAATTCGAGACATTGAATGGTATAGAAAAGTTGTTAGAAAATGGTTTTATCTTTGAAGGTCAATAACCGGTTTGGATAGGTAAACTAGTCCTAGTATCAAGGAGTAACCAAAAATGACAAATGTGCTAAGATTTCACGGACTTGAATAAAGCTTGTGCTAATGATAGCTTCTCATTCCCCAGAAATGATCAGTTGGTGGATGCAATTGCGGGATATAAGTTGTTGAGTTTCATGGATAATTTATAATCAAATCCCTATGTATGGACCTGATGACGAACATAACGTATTCGTCAAAGATCGAGGACTATGTTGTTGTAAAGTAATGTTATTTGGGCTAAACCACGTACCAAAGGCTAATAAACAAAATATTCGTGATCAGTCAGGAAAACAGTGGAAGTATACGTTGATGATATGTTGGTGAATAGCCTTTAGGCTGAGGACAACTTAAAACACTTAGAAGAGGCTTTCGACGCATTATGAAAATATAGGTAAAACTTAATTCGCTAAAATGCTCTTTCAGAAATTTTGGAAGGTTCTTCGGATATAAGGTTAACTAACAAGGTATCAAAGTGAACCCCAACAAAATTCAGGTCCTCATAAGGACATGATCCCCATGTAAACTAAAAGAAGTACAAAGCTTAGTGGGACCGTCATCCCCAAAGTAGGTTTATATCACGAGTAACAAACAAATGTTCCAATTTCTTATAAGTGTTGAAAGGAAGAAAGAAATTTGAATGGAGCAACGAATGTGAACAAGTATTCCAGGCTATAAAAGATCATCAGGGGAAAACATCCTATTAGCTAAACTTGAAAATGGGAAAAACTACTGTCATATTATAGCAAATTATAAGGTGGCATCAGCGTTGTACTAGTAAGGGAAGAAGGACAACAACAATTATCAATCTACTATGTAAGTGAAGCCCTGCAAAGAGCAAAGGCTAGGTATCCAGATATGAAAATGTTGGCCATTACCTTAGTTACAGCATTGCGAAAGTTGTGACCATACTTCCAAATCATCATTATTGAAATACTAACTAATTTTTCACTATTTGTGGATAGGTTGTCGAAGGATACTAGTTTTGAAATGGGCATAGTCTTAACAAGCCTAAAATGGCACAGATTAAATTGCTCGTTAATTTTTGTATTAAAAGCAACCAATAATGTAGTTGAATATGAAGCTTTATTGATGGGTCTACAGTTGAAGAAAGAAATGTAGTTTCAAAATATAGAGTAAAAAGCGACTCGCAGTTGGTAGTAAATTAAGTGAATCTGAAGTTCATAGCCAAGG